TTTTTTATCATTATTTGTTTTATTTAAAGTAATTTATAAAATTAGAATTATTTTTCAATTTCATCCTTCTTTATTTATTTTTATATATTATATTATATTTTTATTTTTTAACATTTTATTTTTTAATTTTATCCATTTATGTTTTATTTTGTTTATTTTTATACCAAATTTGATTTTTTTTTTATTTTCTTGATTTATTTTATTTTGAATTTCATCACTTATTCCTTTATTTTATTTAATTTTTATACCAGATTTGATCTTTATTATTTTAATTTTTATTTATTTTTTAAATTTTTTTGGATAATTATGAACTTTGCTTCATTATTTTTTTGGGTTTGCCTTCCTATAGGTTGAGGTAATAAATTGGTCTCATGATCGGGTTATAGGTTTTGAAAATTAACCTGATTTGATTTTGTTTTTTAAGTTTTATTTTTTTCAAATTGATTTTTTTTTCATTTTTATCCATCGATATTAAGTTATTGGGTCTTCAGCTTTGTGATTTCTGTTGCTTTATCTTTTTATAGGATTATTTCAATCTCATATCTGAGTCGCATATTAGTCGAGTTAACTCTGGTTTATTCAACTTTTTTTATATGAGTTATTCCGACCACATAACTAGACCATAAATTTGATATGTTGACTCGAGTTAAGTTTTTTATCCTTTTTTAAAATTTTTTTTTTCAATTCATCATTCAATATTTGATTTACTATTAATTAAGCTTTGGAATTTTTTATCTTATTATAAGGTTATTTTTGCTTTATTATCAAATAAGATCGTTAGAATATTTTAAAAATATCTAAAAGGTGTCTTTTTTAGAATATTGACAATCATTTATTTTTTATATTAGTCACTATTTTTTTTGTTGGCTTTTTTTTATAATTTTATTATTAAATTAACCTAGTTTATTGAATTTATTCAAATTAATGATTCAAATATCTAATTTTTCTTGTTCCTTTAAAATACTATCATCATCTAGATATTTTTTTTATATTTCACAAAATTTGACTCAACTTGTTTTTATATTAGATTTTAAATTACCATTTAATCCATCATAACTTAGTTTTTATCATTTCCAACAAAAAAAAACCTTAAATTTGACTTCCTACGTTGAATTATGTAAACATATGAAAAAAAATGAAGACAAAAAATTCCATAATACATGTGAAATATTGTATTAGTGTAGGATTCTATTTTAAAATCATATGATCCATATGACTAACACATTTTTAAATAACAATTATCAACATCATGATATATATATATATGGTGGTGGTTCCATATTGATCCATTAGATGCAAATACCGAGTTGGTTTTATATATATAATATATAAGAGTGAGCATCACTTTGAATCAAATGGTTTTTGAACCAAATAGAACTGAATGAAATAACTAAAATAGTTAGATTGGTTTGGTTTTATATTTGTTAAAACTAAATAAATCTAATTTAAATTAATAAACCTTCAAATAAGCTATTTTTAATAGGTTTTGATTTAATGAGCATTTAATTTATAATTATTAATTTGGTTCAATTTGATTGTTTTAATTTGATTTAAATCAGTTTTTTTTTTTTTGGTTTGTAAAATCTGAAATCGAAACTGAAATGACCCAATTAATTAATTTGTTTAATAAAATTATTCAATAAACTTATAAAACTGATTAATTAGATTAATTTCAGATTAATTTATATAACTATTTCAATTAATTTGATAACCTCCAATAATATGTAATCGCACATGCAGCTTTCAAAAACCACAAAAAAAAAAAAAAAACTATAGATCTTCTTGGGGTTTCCTTTACTTTTAATTATTCCTTGTTCTTGTTTAAACTTTTAGGGACTGTTTCGAAATTTCCAAAAACAATAGGGACTTTTTTTAAAACAAAACTCACTAGATCTTCCACCTCCTATTTATCACATCTCCCAAGTTGTAATCGTCAAAACTCAAAAGAGTAAAATTCTCCTTTTACAGACCAAAACGCAGTTGTTTTGTTGACTCTTTCAAATTAGGTTTTCAATCAAAGCTGCAACCCAACTAAATCGCCGCTTTGAACAGGTAATCAGAATCAAATCAATCAATTAATTTTCTTTGGTTCCTTAGACAGCCCGCGAAGATGCTTGATTTCTTACAAACTAAGCTAAAGATTTGATCTTTTTTTTTTAGATCTGGTTGCCATTTTTTTGTAGATCTGCTAATTAAGGTTTCATTTTATGGAACTGATTCGGATTTCTTAAATGTTCTGTTGTTGATGGTTGTTCATTAAAAAAATTGGGTACTTTTTTTTAGGGTTTCTTGAAGAACCCTATTCGAGCCTGAAATAGCTTCTGAAACTCGTTAAAAATGTGTAACTTGCAAAAAAAATATAAATGAAAAGGCTTTATGGGTAAAATAATGAAAACCCACAGGCCATAGTTGATTCAGCGGCATGATTATTTTACAAAATAATGAGATCAAGACTTAAAGATGTAAACTTAGAGATTATAACTTGAATTATTCAAGGTTTTTGTAAGAACCCATTGGAAGATACTGATGTTAAACGTGTAATATTTTGTTTAACATAGCAAAGCTTGCGCTGCTGTATGTTTTTCTTTCCTTTCCTTTTCCTTTTCTTTTTATCTCATTTATTAGAATGTGTGTGGTCAAGCAGAATGAGGTCTATCTTTTGTGGGAACTTTGAGTATGATGCAAGACAGACTGAGCTGGAACGGCTATTCAAACGATATGGGAGAGTTGAGCGGGTGGATATGAAAGCTGGTAAGTTTATGTTCCATCCTCACTAATTAAGTCTGTGTAAAGTTGCTTCCATTGGCTTTTGTTGTAGCTTTTGTTTTCCTACTCGAAAAGTTCTGTTATGTGGCTGATTATTTAACAGCCTTTCATGTAGATAGTAAAATTGATAAATGCAGTAATTGTGAAGGTTTGGAGTTTTTTGTGTTATATGAAGAGAGTTTTTGAGATGATTTCAATGAAGAAAAGGTTTTTCCCTTTTGTACCAAAGTTCAATAATGAACAATGAATTCTTGGGTGAATTATTGAGAAGGTTTATATATATATAATATGAAAAAAAAACTTAATAATATAATTGATAGATGTTGTGATAGTATTGGTTGATGTAGCATTCAATTTTATTCCACTCGAATGGAAAAAAAGCACATTGTGAGTGCAGATTGACAAGTGGTAGGGGTAGACATGGTGCTAGTTGAGTTAATTCTTGTTACTGCTGTTGTTTTTTGTTGTGAGTGAAGATGTACTAAACCATTTCTTAAATGTTTAACTTGAATGGTAGGGCAAGAGATGGTTGACATCCATCTGCCAGAGGTTTTAATTTTATCTTGGGACTATTTGATTTTTATCTTTGTAGACAAAGCATATTTAATTTTTAAGTTAATAAGATAGTAATGTTTAATGCTTTCCAACTGGATGTGGAAAACATCATTTAAAAATTATGCATACATTGTTCTGGAATTATTTGGAAAGTCTGTCAGCAACCAGCTGAGCCAGTGGGACCAGACTCCCATTCTTATAAGTGGCCCTTTTCCTTCATACCAGTAGCGCAACAGCTTGATTGGGACATTCAGCAGCTGTGACTCAGCGGCATTTATGATCCTTTGTTGAGTTCTAGTGGGGGTTCAGGATTTATTAATGAAAAAAGACAAATATTTTTTTGAAGCATAGACCCCCATACTCAACATTTTCTTTGGCGCAGGATTGTCTTGGGAAATATGTACTCTTCCTGGCTTATGGATGGCTGTTCAGAATTCTGTTCCTTTACTGTGACAAGCATCTTCTTGTTTTCAGGAAGAATTACTCTCATCCGCAATGGCAGAACCATGCCAATTTTTCTGAGACACTATTGCCTTTCATTTCTCATGAATTTTGCCAAGCCTTCAATCCCAGACATGTTTCAATATTGAAACATTGTCGACCTCACGGCAGAGGCAGCAGAATAGATGGAGAAGGCTCTCTATTTTCATTGACCCACCATGAGACATCCACATTTGGATTCTAGTTCCTTGACATCATTTAGTTCATCTCGCACAAGGTCTGTTGCTATTTCTACTGGTCACTTAGTTTATAGATTTCAGGTGGGTTGCCAAATTTTATTCAAGGGTATAGGTGGTTTGTGTGTTGCTGACCAAGAATACCATCTGATTATCAAAGAATCCTTTCAGGGAAGGGTTCTTGTTCCTTTTATAGTGAACATGACTATCATACATTTTACTGAGTGTCTTTTTGCTGTACTTGTATACAGGATTTGCTTTTATTTATATGGAAGATGAGAGAGATGCTGAGGATGCAATTCGAGGACTTGATCGAGTAGAATTTGGTCGCAAGGGTCGCAGACTTCATGTTGAATGGACAAAGGTATTAACATGTTGAATGGTCTATGTTATGAATGTGCTCAAGTGGTGCATCTTTCTTGAGCTGACTTGCTGTAATTGTTGCTAATTTGTAGCAAGAACGTGGGGCTAGACAGTCCGGTGGCTTATCAAGAAAATCTGCTAACACAAGGCCATCTAAGACTTTATTTGTTATCAACTTTGATCCACATCATACTAGGACTAAGGATTTGGAGAGGCACTTTGAGCCATATGGGAGGATCGTGAGTGTAAGGATAAGAAGAAATTTTGCATTTGTTCAGTATGAAGCACAGGAGGATGCCACTAAAGCACTGGATGCAACAAACATGAGGTTGATTTTCCTTTATCCTCTTACATGTCTCTTACCCTGTTTCTTCAGTAAATGGTGCTCTTCCTAGTTTTGGAAAATGTGAACTGCTCGCCATTTCTCAGTAGTACAATCATGATTTTCCTGTCCTACTGTTTAAAAAACACTTTAACAATCCAGAGATCTGGGGCTTGATTTAAGTGGATCCTTCTGATTTCATGTTTTGATGTGGCTCACTAGTTGATTTATGCTTTTGTTTGTCATGCAGCAAGCTGCTTTATCGAGTTATTTCAGTGGAATATGCTGCTCGAGATGATGGTGAAAGGAGGGATGGATACAGTCCTGATAGAAGTCGTGATAGGTCACCTGACAGGCGAGGACATGATAGGAGGCGTTCTCCAAGTCCTTACCAAAGAGAAAGGGGAAGCACTGATTATGGCCATGGCTCTAGTCCTTATCGCAAAGAGAGGGTTAGCCCAGATTCTAGATGTCGCCGCAGCCCTAGCCCCTATAGGAGAGATAGGGCTAGCCCTGACTATGGCCATGGTTCAACTCGTAGTCCTTCCAGGAGAGAGAGGGCTGGCAGTGACCATGGCCATGGCCCCAGCCGTGGTCCTCACCGCAAGGACAAGGCTAGTCCTCTCAATGGTAATGGCCCTAGTGACAGTCCTTATCAAAGAGAAGAAAGGCTTAGCCCTGAAAATGGTCGTGTCCCGAGCCGTAGTCCATATGGAAGAGAAAGGTCTAACCCAGACAAAGGCCGTGGCTCCAGCCATAGTCCCTTTGAAAGAGATGGGTCTAGCCCTGAAAATGGTCAATGGAGCAACCCAAGCTCCAATCCTGACAGGAGGGACAGTGCAATTGGAAGAGTTGAAAGCCCTAGGCATGAGAGATACCAGAGGTATGTATCTTAATGCTGTGTTTTATCTTAATGACTTGTTTTAATTTCATGTTTCATTCATCTTTGTAACCCAATATTCTGATCCAATGTTGCAGTCCATCACCAACAGCAGATGAATGAGTCCAACTCGATTGGCTTATATTGGTTTGTCATTTGGACGGAGCTGGGTTGACAATCTCAATATATGCCTCACCTTTTCCATCATAACTAACCATCACCAAGTGCTAGATTGCAAGTTATGCCCCTATCTTGTAATGTGGGATCTAGTTTGTGCCAGTTTGTAGTCTTGTGCTTTCAATTTCTATGCAAAAACTGAGGTGGATTCTGTTGGTTTTGAACTTAATAGAAACCTTTATGTAACATGTTACTTTTTCGTCACCTCGATTGCTCATTTGCTTTGATGTTTCCTGTTGTATGATTGCATGGATGCCTTTTCACCTTGTGCAAATGCAATCTTCCTGTTATTCTGAGTGCGACGACGGCGAAGGGGGTCGCTATTCTTTCATGAAAAACTGAGGATGGTGTGTGGCTTGGCTTTTTATTATCCTACCTCTCGATAGGCGGGGAATTATCGAATGGTGTGTTTGTCCATGTTGCAGCCGCACACTTGAACATCATTATAGCAAGGCCTTGAAGGTGCCTTTGAAGTGCCAGAATGAGCCCAATCTAATATGTTTTGTTGTGGCATGCAATATATTATAGGATTATAAGAATAATGGAGGGGAGAAGAGATCTGCTATTGCTTGATTTGATGTCGACGGCCGGCCGTTTTGCTGGTGATTTTACTTTCCAATAGTGTGTTTTCAACCAAACTGTGTTTTTAAGAAAATTTAAATTTTTGTATTTGCTTTGAATAAATTTAATTTTTTTGAATGGATTTGATGTTTAATTTTTAATATTTTTAGATTGTTTTAGTATTTCAGATTGTTTTTATATATTGATATAAAAAATAAATTTAAACAAATAAAAAAATATTATTTTAATTCAATCATTATTACATTTACAAGCATCTCAAAAGTCGGTTCAGCAATCATCAAATATCCAAGTAGGGCTGCAGCACCCGAGTGACTATAACTTGTATCCGATTTGATACTGAGGTTTGCCGTCCTTCCCAACAAAGTCAAGAACAAAATGGTTGGTTTATGTGTAGGGATTTGATCACCTAGTCCCTTTCAAATCCTTCATGGAGACGTGTTATATTTATGTTCAATTACCTTATTCATGAATTACCTCAGGCTATGATGCATCAGAGCCGTAGAAAGGATTTTCTATCAAATGAATAATTAACCTATCTCTAGATCAATTTCTTCAAGAGTTGGTCCATATTAGGTTTGGATCTTCACTTGTCTCCTATAAATCCCAGAGTCAGCTCATTTTTATGTAATTTTCAGCAAAAGGCCAACTCAGTTCACTGTGGATAATCTAATTTTGATATGGACTGATGTCCTTGTGAAGAGCTGATCCTCAACCAATCCATAGTTCTTGTATCAAAAGTATGAGATGGAGAGTTCTTTCAAGTCTCAGTTAGATAGGTGTTTGATACATGTTAATTTATGAGGTTAGATGGAAGGTACGGAGCACATTTGATAGCAAAAACAGAAATAAAAATATAAAATGAATATGTTTCTAAAATGAATTTTTATTTTTTCAAAACAGGAAAAGAAAGTGAAAACATGTCTTTTTAATCCCAATTATTTTTATTTTGAAATAATAACCAAATATTACCTTGATGAATTCGATAGCGTGTGCAAAAGAGATGCTACCAAGAAGCAGTTTTTCCATCGTAATCCTATCGAGTCACGTTCAGTCCTGTTTACTCAAACATTATATAGTAAATTCCGTGCAACAATCAAACAAATGAATACAGGATCATAATAGATATGATATGTCAAGGTTACAACTGTTTTTTTCCATGATTTTGCCCATAAATCCCATCATGAACTGTTTGTAATTCTAATACAGCAGTGCATGTTCTCACCATTGTTTCTTCTTCGAATGACACTCTCCATTTGACTAACTTAAGAGTATAGAAAAGACCATATGATAGTGAATACTCCAAGGCTTGCTATGATGCCCAATAATGTTGGCAATAAATAATTGCAAATCTCTATCATCAAACTTATCATCAAACAAAGTTGCTTCCACCCAATTTTATATTTCCTAGCACAGATCATCAATGCAAGTTGCTTCCTGCTATCCCTTTCTCTGTTCCCCCCCCCCCCCCCCCTCAAATTCTGCTGATAATCTTGCTCTTCTCGGGCAAAAACTGTAAAGCCTAATTTTTCCCGACCGTTCAAAAGCAGCCCACTTGTCATTTTGGGTCCCACAAAATGTCATGCCATGTGATTTTCAGAGTTATTTTTTTTTAATAAGAGCCCACTTGTCATTTTGGGTCCCACAAAATGCCATAAGAAAATTACAGATACTTTTTTCACTTTATCTCTAAAAACCTCTCCTGTTCATTTCACATCAGCTTACTTTTTCAAGGTGAAAGAAGAGAGAGATAAGAATTAAATAAAAAACTAGGATTGTACAAGAAACCTTGTAGCAGATTGGCATATATCTTCCACCATTGTTTCATTGCTCCAAATGAAGTTCTGAATCTCAATTGTATTTCCCTGTATTATTAATCTCATGTTCATCACAGATCACCTCCCAAAACTTGGCCCAATTTTGTTCCCACATTGATCCCCTTGAATGTGAAGGACTTCTCTCATTTTGGCACCAAAGTTCGCATCTTTTTGGGGTTGATATTGAGTTCGGGCTGGGAAGTTTTTTTTTTTTTTTTTTAAATTTTAAAGTGAGTTTAGTTTTAAATTGATAAAATCAATAAAATCATGTTAAATTAATTTTTAAATAATTTAATTTTAAATTTAACCTAGATAATTAACGGGATATGAACTTTTTTTTATTTTTTATTTTTATCAAATTCATTCTTATAATTTCTTTTATCTTTTATGTTGGATGATTTGTCATTTATTTCATAAGTTGACTAGATTATAATGATGTAATTTCTATATAGTTTAATTTTAAAATTTAATATAAATAAAAAATTAAATAAAAATATTTGAAGTTAAATCATCAAACTAAATTTAATAACAATACCAATAATTCTTTACGGCCTAAATTTTTTGGTTACATTGACCCATCGCAAAATTAGCACAAACATTTAAGCTAGCTGGATCTAAATAGTTAGGGTTTCAAAAAGAAACAAATTTGAATTATTAACTCTCTTTTTTGTCCAAAATAAATTAAACACCATATTGAACCGTTCGCACTCTAAACTATGAGTTCAACTACGCATTCTTCCTATAGTATTAGTATATTAATTAGCATATACATCCAATAATAATGTTTCAACATGAACTAAAATCCAATAATTACTAACAACAAACACACTATAGGATCACGGGATAGCATCATTCATCATTATCCATTCAGTGTATGATTGTTGTAATCTACATGGATTATATTCTGATTATGGGACTACATCGCTATCCACCATTGAAAAGCGAGCGAGGAACCTTTCTTCTTTTAGGTGCAAATCACTGTATGGATAACTTGTTTTCCATTCCGCCTCGAGCATACCCAACAAGGCTGTCACATGAATGGGAACATTTACAATCGGACCCCACATCTTGTTTCATGACCGTTTGATCCACTACCTGTTGGGCCAAACTGACACTTGTCAGGATCTCAAGCATCACTGCCTCGTGTCTCCCATCAACCAGTACTGGAGATCTCTGGGAATCGCATTGATGCTTACCTCATGTTTATCCCCGCTTGGATTTCTTAGAGATGCAGACTCTATCACATTTTCTCTTTTGGAACAGAAAATTAGTGACACTGTTCTTATCACTTTGACGTTGCAAATTGCACATGTTGAACATTCGTTTTAAGGGCAAGTTAGGTTTTGTAAGAATGATATAAAACCGAAGCTCATGGAGAGCTGGCGAAATTATAATGAGTTTAAATTTTTATACTATCGACCTAAGTTCTTTCATAAAACAAAATTATTTTATAGAATGATTATTTATGATGTGAATTATGATCTAAGATAAGAAATATGTTTCATTTATGCATTAAATGTCAAATATAAATGAAATAGTTGTGAATAAGAAATAAAATTATTATACATTGTACATCTCTTATGGAGATCTTCTATTTTTTATAGGAATAGAAAATCATATATATTTGAAATAGATTAAAGAATCAAATGTATACAAAATTAATCTAATCAAGTTACCCACATGATTATTTGATTATGAAAAAAAGAAAAAGATAATAATAGTTAATCTTTGTCAAATAACAAAAGATAATAATAGTTAATCTTTGTCAAAGAACCATTTCAAACTAATAACTTAAGCTGTGAAATAAAATTTCAAGATATAATTTATATTATTTTTTAATTAACACACATCTTCGGGTGAAAGTTTTTCAAATTTAAAATTTGTATAAGTATACATTAACTTATACTTAATTTTTATCAATTAAATGAGAATGATGATATTTGAATTTGTGATTGCTTGGTTATCAAGACTCTCATATCATATCAATAAATCATTTCAATTCAATATTTTAAATTATAAGATGAAATTTTAAAATATAATTTATATTATTTTTTAACAATCTTGAAAAAAAATAAATGCATGTCAGTGTAATCAAAGCAGCAAACAACCACCAATTTCAGAAATGGGTTCATGGGTAATTGGCATCTGGGTGTGGAACTTACACTAGCGGAGGGATTTATGAGTTTTTGAAGCTGAGTAGGTAATGTCTTTAGATTTGTTTCTTCAGGAGGCAAAGCTAAACCAAACAAAACCAGATTTGAAGGTTAGGAATACTTACAGGGATGGGAAGTTCATTGTGACATCTTGCTGTATTTTAATTGATAGAATAGAGTTTGGTGTATCCTACTCTTTTAAGTACAATGTTTGGGTCTCTACGGCTCTTTTAAAAACTCGAATTTTTATATGGTTGGCAATTCAAAATAGACATTGTTCAAGAGTTTTTTTTTAATGTAGCCGACGTCTGTTATCCTTGCACCAGTACCATAGATTGATAGAATGCCAATTTGCATGGAAATTATGAACAAAATTTATTTCGTGGTGGGGTTTTTCTGGTGTGTTCCAATCACACTTGATGAGCTGCAGTTGCAATGGTCAATGATGATAAATGGAAAGTTTGGGAGGAAAACATGGAAATTATTCTCATATGGTATTACTTGGACTGTTTAATTAATAAAAAATAATTTAGTTTTCAATGATATTCGACGACATCGAGAGTTACGGAATTGTAAAGAACATCTCACTTAACACAGGAAATGATCTTCAAGTAAGTGTGGACTGCATTCATAGATGGATAAATGGAAAAACATGGAGATGATTGTTAGTACAGCG